ATTCTCCACTTCTTGATTCTGATTCTTTGATCCTTAATCCCGATTTTCTTCGTACTAACATAACGTTTTTTTTTTTAGGTGTTTACTGGAGTTCTTTCGTCATTCCTTCGGTGAGAGTGTCGTTTGTTGGTGCTTCAGCGTTTCTTGGAGCTTTCGACATTTGTTGGTTCTTCATCGTTTCTTGGAGCTTTCATCATTTCTTGGAGCTTTTGTCGTTTCTTGAAGCTTTCGACGTTTGTTGGTGCTTGTCGTTTCTTGAAGCTTTCGACGTTTGTCGGTGCTTAGTCATTTCTTAGAGATTTCGTCATTTGCTGGTACTTTGAATTTTTTAGAGACTTTGTCGTTTGTTGGAGTTTCGGTGTTTATAGGAGCTCTCGTGTTCGTCGTTTCTTAGATTTTTTTCGTTTTTTCTAACCTTCTTGCATTTTTAGGTGACTTTTTGGTGTTCTTTCATTTGCGGATTTTGTCTGAAGCAGAAGGGTAGATCAGTTTCTTTGCGTGTAAACATTTGTTATGTAATGACGTAAATTTTTTCAGGTTGTAGTAGTTTAGTGTTCATTTATCATGTAGAAAATGTCTGTTATGTAACGGCGTTGTTTTTTTTTTTAATAAATAATTATTTTATAAAATAGAAATTAAATATTTTAGAAGCTAGAAATATTTGAAATTTATATAGAGTATTTTAAACTGTATATATTATAAACAATTAATTAAATAATAATTAATTAAATAACAATATGATTAGTTAATTATCACAGGTAATTATAGATATAATCTTTAACTTAGATAAATGTTTTCTTATAACTACTAGTATAATAATCTTTAAATTTGATTAGTCAATTACTAAAATATATTATTACATTTTTCTTACATTGCTATCAAAATATCACTGTCATATGATTTTTAAAAAAAATTTTAAGTTTATTTATATTAAAATTAGCATTTAAACTAATATCAATATTAAGTAAATTATAGTAAAACTATCTAAGAAATTTTTTTTGTTAGTATACAAAAGGTAGTTTCTTAAATAAAATTTTGAAAAATAAGTGAGTTTTAACAAAAATAATATTTGTTTTGGATCTTTGTGATCATGTTATATTGCACAAAATTATGATTAATTATTGGCTAATTTGATTTAAATTATTATATAATGAAGGGCATGGATCAGAAAAGAGGCAATTGTTGAAGTATTTGTAACAGCTTCTATTTTGTGTAAAGAATATTTTGATGATGATAATACATGCATACAATTGAATGACATTTCAAAAATGAAACAAGTTTTTTGATTAATTTATTTTTTTCGATTATTAATCTTTTAGAACTAAAATATTGCATTGTTTACATATTTATATAAGATTCTTATACATAAAAGCAAAAAACAAACAAACTATATAAATACAATTGTATCAGCAATCTAAGAAGATTTGCAGATTCTTATATTGATATTCTGGATTTTTACACAGATGTAAAAGAGTTTTTAATTGAATTGGCAACTGGTAAACAAGATTTTAATAAAATAGACAAAGATGACGCCAATCAATAACTATTATTCTTCTTAGTTAAAGCAAGTACAATAAAATGTCTTGGTTTAGTATGGTCTAGACAAAAAAAAATTCAAAGTATGCATAAAATAAATTGAATACTAATATATATCAAATAATGTTAACGAATTGGTATATACATATATGTCTGTATAGCATTGTATTCAAAAGAACTTGGTCTTGTATTTGCCACTTCTTTGAAATCAAGTAAAAATATATAGAATATTCATCTTGGCATTCTTGCATTTCTCAATAAATATATTAATAAATTAGATTTTACAGATAATGATAAAACATTGGTATTGGATGAAGAAACTTTGCTTTCTATCTTCAACAGATTAAAGAACAGATTACAAAATACAAAATATATTGCAATTCATATAGCAAGTTTAGAAAGTTTCAAAAAAGTTATTGAGAAAATTAAAGGTGAAAAAAGATTTTTTTATACACAGCTTATGTTAACACCAAGTAATTTAATTCATTCTTTTTGACAGAACACATTTATCTTTGCCTGCAATTAAAAACCAGTATTTTGATATTATTAATATTGCAGAAAGTGATCCTGTGCCTGGTATTTCTGAGTTTACTAAAGATATACACAGAACTTTATAAAATCATTATACTAAAACTTTATATTAAAAAGTTTAATTTTAAATTTGTTATATTTTTATAGACTGGCCAATAAAATTAGAAGAATAGGTTTAACATAAAAACCAAATTAATTTAAAATTAAAGTTAGAATTAGTATTAAACAAAGTATTGTCTAGACAAAGTATTTGTCTATACATAGTAAATTTTATTATTTAAATTTTTTAATTAAAATTTTTTAGTTTATTAAATATATATACCACCATTTAATTTAGAATAAATTTATGCATTACATTATGCTATGCATTTGTATATCACAAATTTGCTAAAATAAATTTTAAAAATTTTATTCAAAATTTATTTAAGCTTGTCTCTTTATTATTAAAAATATTTATAATAAGAACTTAAGTACTATACAATGTATTTATATATTGCATCCCAATAATCTATATGAAGATCAGATATAATATTGAAAAAAATCAATAATTTCTCTTATAAAACAATTTTTAATATTCTAATAACAAATTTTTACTATATATAGTCAAACCTCTCTATAGTCACCTCTTCTATCACTATCATTATCGTCAAGATAGTCATGAATGGGTGATATTCTTTTGTTTTTAAGTTTATTAACAATATCATCTTCAGAATAATTTTCAGAAATATTTTCATTTTGAGGATCAAGAATTGAAGAGTCAGAATTAGGAGTTGAGGGAAGAGGATTAAGAATTGAAGAATCGGGATCAAGAATTGAAGAACTGGGATCAAGAATCAAAAAATCGGGATTAAGGATCAAAGAATCAGAATCAAGAAGTGGAGAATTGGGATCAAGAAGTAAGAATCAGGATCAAGAAGTGAAGAAATGGGATCAAGAGTTGCAAGAATAAAATTAGAAATTGACGAAGTAGGCAAGTTAGAGCAAGACATTGGTAAATATTTAGAATGCAATTTGTTACTTAAGAATTTATTTATTGATTTATTTATTATTATTTTTTTTATTTTTTTTTAAAGTCAACAGAAAAAATCTAAGGTTTTTATTAACGATTTAAGTTATTGTTGCTTAAACAAAAGAATGTAATATTCAATGTACAAATTAATATAATTATGTGGTATTTTATTAAAAGGAGTTTCTTTAATATGTCTGTAACTATTTAAGAGACCCTAGTGATGACTTATTTTATTAAATGAAACAAACGAAACAAATATAGCACAAATTAATATACTCATGTAAATTTTTTTTAATTATTAAAAGAAGTTTTTTGTTATGCCTGTAACTATTTAATAAATTTTGACAATAGTTATTTATTCAATTATTATTTGACTATTTAAATTACCAGTAATATACGATATATACGGCATCAACATTTAAGATAATATTAATTAACTCCTAATATATGCGATATTAATATTAAGAGCATTTCTGATATTTATTATAAGATTGATTGGTTTATTGTTATAAATAAGCGAAGTATAGGCAGCCTTTAATATACTTTATAAATCATTTGTTCATGTAATTTTTTTTTTTTTTTGCAAGAGAAGTGATAAAACAATAATTCCATTTTAACAGATTTTAGATTACAAAACAAAAAGTAGAATTAAGATTTTAAATAAATTTTATTGAATTTTAGATTACAAAACAAAAAGTAGAATTAAGATTTTAAATAAATTTTATTGAATTTTAAAATATACTCATTAATTAACATAATACAATACAGCAATATGCGTTCTATCAATAATCTGCAAAAGTATATATACTTTAAAAAAATTTTTTGATTAAAATCTACTTTGAAAAAACAAAATGCCATCTTTGTCTTTGATAATAACAAACCAGGTTAACTCTTACCAGTTTAACTATCTAGGATATAGTAGTTTATTCACAATCTAGTAATGTGTAGTGGTATTCTTTTCTTCTAAATGAAGTCCTCTGGGTTTTTGATTTGCATATAGTAAATATTTCATTCTTATAAAGTAAAAAAAAAAAAAATAAATTTTAGTAAAATATTTCGATAAGTTATCCAAAATATTTTGATTAAATTGGTCTCGATGCAAATTAGCCAATTACATGCATGCCCTTCTAATTATATATTGGAACAAAAAACATGCATTTGGGACTTTGTCCAGGATAAGCTTGGAGTTGGTTCTAAAATATCTCATGTGAAGTCGACTCAAGGACTGCTTCTGTCAAGCTTTTTAACAGCCCTATAGTCAACTCCCTTTAAATGCATGTCTTCTAAATACATGTTCTCTTTAAATGCAGATTTAAATTCTAGATCTACATATATATTTAATTTCTATAAATGTATTTTCCTAATTGTTCTCTTAATGCATATTGCTAAAAGTCTGGTTCTAGCAAGATATATTTAGTGAAGTTGACTATATATATAAATTAATTTCATGCAATATTGCTTGAAGTTATGCAAATATGGTCATATTAAGGTTAGACATCAATTGTTGTCTTTTCTGTAGCTGCTTATTTGAATCAAATATATAAATTTAACTATATAATAGAAAAACATAATTTTTAGGTATCAGAGATCCAATAAAATTATATATTTCTCTGTGAATTTAAAACTATAAATGCTCTGTAAAGGGGTAATATACTAGTCAATTTTGGTGCCTATAGAAGTAAACACAAGTGCAAAATTATATATATATAATTTTTTTAGAAATCATATGCTTGTATATTTTTTTTAGTCAAAAGAACACATAACAGTAAAGATAGAAAAGAAATATTAGGTAGTTTATCTTGTCTTTTGCATAGTAGATACTAAAAATTAGCAGTTCTTTTGTTCTCGCAACTTTCTTACTATTCAATACAATGTTTTGCATTTTGGGTAGCAAATATTTATAGCCCAATATTATATAGATGTATAGTATTTGTGTTATAATTTTTATTACATGCTGTATAAAAAATTTTGTGTTTAGCTTTATTTTGTTTTTTTATATAAATTCAATTACTTAGAGGTCATCTATAATTTATATAAATATATAGTAGTAAACTCTAGATACTATATATAGTAAAAATATCAGTTCATCTATAGTATAACGTATACTAATACACTCGATAATCACATCAAATATCACATCATAAATAAGGTTATAGATCATCAATTTATATTACGTAATTTTTATTGATAGATAAGTAATGATTATCTATAAGGCGAAGTATTACGTTACAGGTGAA